ATGGTCATCTATTCATTCTTTCAATGTGCATCCTATATTATGGGATAGTTTCGACCGTATCAATACACAATCAGCCCTAAACACTTTCGAATCTAAAAGGTGAAACTCAGAAACGCAAATTATTGAATCTCATTTCCGAACAAATTCCAAAAACCTCAACATTGGAACCCACTACAGTGGTCCATAACTTTTATGATACCCCTATTTCAACCATTGCCACTCAAACTTTAGCAAAAAGTTTCAATTACCCTGTTACCCTAAGTCACATTCCAATTGAGACAATCATCTGTCAAACTGAAGAAGCCATCTCCAGTTTATCTTCCGAAGATGCTGAAATAACCAGGCAAGATATCTCTAGAGTTCTAAGAAACTCAAGGAAGCCTATTCAAAATATTAGCCAATCCGAGAAAAAAGCAATGAAAAAACTTCAGTCAAATCCAAATCTAGTCATTCTTCCCGCCGATGAAGGAAATGCCACCGTCATCCTAAACTCTTCTTCTTACATTAATAAACTCTCAAATCTCGTTAATACTTCAGACTACAAACCAATTTCTAATAATCCAACAACCTATCTGGAGAAATCAACAAAACCCATTATCAATAAAACCTCTCTTCCTGCTGACATCAAAAAATCTCTAATTCCTCGTGAAAAGTCTTCAAGAACACCTCGAATATATGGCCTACCCAAAATTCATAAACCCGATATTCCTCTTCGTCCCATTGTCAGTGCATACAACTGCCCTACACAACTCTTGGAGAAGTATTTGGCCAAAACTCTACAACCTTTCGCCGAAAATGCTTCATCCTTCGTCAAAAACTCTTTTCATTTCATCGGACTTCTTAAACAATACATAAACTATATCACCGTCAGACATTCTAGTAAGTTTCAATATTGTCTCACTCTTTACAAACATTCCAATAGATGAAACTTTAAACATTCTGAAAACTAAATACAGTATTCAACAAGATCACTTATCTCTCATTAAACATTGCATGTCCAACACCTATTTCATCTTTCAAAACAAATTCTACAGACAAATAAATGGTGCCCCAATGGTCTCCCCTCTATCTCCAGTAATTGCCAATATCTTTATGGAAGACTTCGAGACCCGAGCACTATCCACATCAATGCTCAAGCCCACATGTTGGCTACGATATGTTGACGATACATTCGTCATTTGGCCCCATGGCAGGGATGATTTAGTATCTTTTCAAACTCATCTGAATGGTATACATCCTAGTATCCAGTTCACGATGGAGATGGAAACTGATTCATCCCTACCGTTTCTCGATGTTTTCATCAAGAAAAACCAAACCCAAGGTTTCCATTACTCTGTTTATCGAAAACCCACACATACCAATCGTTACTTGCATGCCAACTCTCACCATCCACCTTCACAAATTAATTCAGTCATTAATACCCTTGTCTCCAGATCAATACGCCTTTCCGATGATGCAAGTAGACTCGCTGAGCTCTCTTGTTTAAAACAAGCCCTAATCCAAAACGGTTACCGCGAAAATCACATCAATAGAAGCATTCACAGACATCAATCTCCCACTCATTCTCAACCCAAAGACTCAGACCCTTATCATACGAAAGCTTCTCTTCCTTATATCAAAGGTGTCACTGACAAAATCGACAGAATTCTGAAACCAAGAGGAATAAAAACAATATTTACTCCCCAACAAAAACTTTCATCTCTTGTCCGATCTATCAAAGACAATATTCCAAATGAACAACACGGAGTTTATGAAATAACTTGTGCAGACTGTCCCCGATCCTATATAGGCCAAACAAATCGTAGAATCCAAAATAGGATTTATGAACATTCCATTTCTGTTCGCAATTCCGATTCAATTTCAGCTCTCGGTCAACACCATCTTCATACAGGTCATAAAATCGATTTTGAAAACTCCAGAACCATAGCCCCCATCGGCTTCTATAAACCAAGAATTATCCGAGAAGCCATAGAAATAGAAAAAAGGCCAAATTGTCTTAATAAAAGAGATGACGCCATACGGTTACCTTCTACATGGAGACCTCTCATAAAGAAAATATCGCCCCCTCCATCCTCGAATCAAAATTCCACAGTCGGAAATGTTCGCGCCAACCCCAGCACCAACTCTCGCGCCAACCCCCACCTAGGCCACGCCATCATCGACGGTATAAATGAACCGTCTCCTGTTCCCAGCCGTAGTAGTGACAGTGTAGTGAATAGTGAACAGTGTAGTAGTGTCTGGGGGCTCGGGAGACTGAGACCTCGGAAGCCCTGAGGAAGGCATCAGAGAGGATGCCGAAAGCTCGGCAAAATGGATATCGACGCGGTTCAACCCGGAAGACTGCTGAGTTTGATATTAATTTTAGTAATAATATTAATCTTAGCTCTAGGTTTCAAAAATTTTCAAAAATCGGTTAACGCTACGAGGCCTAGATCCAAAAAGGCTACTTTTTAAAAATAATTTCAATTATACAGGGTGCTCCAGGAAAGTGCTACACATCAAAGTTATGTTTTTTTAAATAGGACACCCTGTATTTTATTGCATTTTTGAATTCTAAGAACAAAATAAGTGTCACTTTGTTAAAGGTTTGTTATACTTAGAGTCTACGGTTTTTGATATATCCAAGTATTTTTAAAAATAAGGGATGTTTAAAACATGCCAATAACTCCTAAATTTCCTAATATTTAAAATTATTTTTTTATGGAAGATTAAGAATTAATTGTACTCTAAAATCAAATACTTACTATTCAAAAATATTTTACAGGGTGTTTGCGAATTAGATATTTATTAGTGGCAGCTTTAAACATTAAAAACTGCTGTATTTTAAATGTGACACCCAGTATATTTTTTTAATTTTATGAAAGATATTTCAAATACCTTTCAAAAAATATAAATATTCCCTTTACCCATATTCGACAGTTTTGGATATAAAACCAAAGTTCTGTGATAGCTATACTTTATAACAAATGAGTAAATTTCTTTAACCAAGATAGCTATGAACTGTCAGTTTACAAACTGTTCTACTATTTTATATTACATACATACTTTTAGACATTTAGAATTGTATACAAAACGTACTCCTCATAACAAATAATTAGTCAACTAACTGTCAGTTTACACACTAGTGTGCTATATTATATTACATATTTTTATTTAGTTTATTTTGATATAAAAAAAATGAACCAATATTCCATTCAAGAACGGGTGGATATGATTCTTACCATAGGTGAATGTAACGAAAACTGTTTTTTAGCGGCAAGGGTTTATGCCCAGAAGTACCCAAATAGGGATCGACCAGATAAGAGAACTCTAGAACGAATTTTAGATCGGTTTCGTACAACAGGTAGTGTTGCATATTCAAAACAAACTCCGAATAAACCTGTCATTGACAATGAAGAAAACGAATTTAATGTATTAGCTTCAATAGCAGAGGACTAACACTAGCGGTAGAAAAATTTCAAATCAAATAGACATACCCAGAACCAGTGTAAGGAGAATTCTCAAGAAACACCGACTCCGCTCATACCATATTGAATTCCATCAACATTTATATGGAACCGATTTTCAATAATGCCTAGATTTTAGTTTATGGGCACTAGAGGAGGTAGGACAAAACATAGATTTTTTCGATTTTGTTTTATTTACAGACTAGTGTACAATCAACAACAATGGCCTAGTAAATCGCCATAACTTCCATTATTACGACACTGAAAATCAGCACCTATTTAGAACTGTTGACCGCCAAAATAGATGGAGCCCTAATGGTTTTGGAGGAATTATTTTGAATAAAGTTATAGGCCCATATTGTTCTGACTATTGGTCGTCTTCAGTACGGTACAGCCAAGTTAGAAAAGGAGCATATTAACTTGGGAAAGGATCACTACAGGAGCAATGCGACCAATTTAACATTATTGCCACAAATATATCACATACGGACGAGAAAGTACAACTTTCAGTACAACAATAGAAAGATCAAAAAACTAACAGATATTTCCATAATGATTCCTCGTGACTGGTATCAATTTGTTGGTACGTGGTACGAAGCCGTTTCGAGTTCATAAATTAACAAACAAATTTTTTTTTCGTTTCTAGTTTTCAAATGACATTTTAAATAAAAATCTACAAGTAATAAAGGGATTAAAATCAATTGGTCAAAAATAAAATGGATTAGATACGAAGAACCATTTGGAGTTATTAAAAAGTAAATTTAGTCTACGTGAAAATGAAGACTCCAAGATCTTGGATGTGAGAAAAAATAAAAGAGGAAGACCAGCAAATGTTAAGAATTTAAATCTACTAGGATATGACAATCCACTGCCAATTAACACGAACAACAAAGTCGACTTGTTAAGTTTGTTACCATTGATGCATGAAGACTGTCACCAGTTTTACCAAAGTCTTGGAACGTCTCAAGCTGCTAAAATCGAGGATTGCTATTCTTCTGATGATAATAATAATGAATAATTATTTGTAAACATTGATATTAATTAGTTTTACCTTTTATACTATTTACTGGAACGATGTACCAATACAATACCAATACCAATTTTTATCAATCTCCTTACTTTTTCTTACCAAAAGTAAAAAAAAAGATGGCAAAAGTTGATATGTTTTTCCTCTCCGATTTTCCCCCTCCTGAGTAATAAATTTTATTTGTAACCATAAGCGTTACCCTTAATGCTGTCCATATATTTTTGTCTAATACCATTTGGTTCAGATATTAGAATGCTACAATTTTATACAAACCGGACAAGTTGTATTTAGTATTTGCCAACAAACAGCAATTTGTACATATCAACGTTTGCCATAAGGCCACAGAAATATAAAAATGTCAGTTTAAATTCGTGCAGTGAACCTAGGTACAACAGTGAAGTGTACAACAAAAATTATTAGATTTTAAGGTGAACCATTGGGAAAACCTAGGTCAGTAAAGTAGCAGATTAGGTTAAATTTAAAATTGTAGATAATCTATTAAAAAAATACTAAAAAGTTTATAATACCTTTTGAATTGACATGATTTATATGCTCGCTAACTTTTTCGGCCAAAAATACAGCAGCCTTTTGTGCTTTTTCTAATATAAGTATTTGCAGCAAACTCGCATTACTACCAGAATATATTGGATTGGTCTGAGCACCATGTTTTAGTAACTGCTTGGCGTATGAATCATCTTCGTCATCGCCTGATTCGTACTTCAGTAAGGCGTAATAGAGTGGAGTGTCACCTTTATTAGTTTCTATGTTGACGTTGATCTTACCTTGCTGAAGCAAAATATGAAATATTGGTTTGTTGTCTGCTTGGATTGCAATGTGAAGGGAAGTACTACAAAAAAAACAGAATGTTTGGGATTTTTAATATTTAAAATAAAATAATATAATAAAATATTTTTAATAAAAAGCTATAAACAAGTGTTCAGAATATAAAATAAATATTTTTGCTTAGAATTATCGCGTCAATAAATATCAATATCAAGTCAAAAAATGGTAACAAAAAAAATAAAGATAAAAAAAATAATTTCTTGCCCCTCAAAAGACACTTAAGCTAGCGGGAATAAATGAGCGGAATCCAATTTAACCTACGTAATATTTTTTCACCCATTTTTCACTAATTTATTGCCACCCTAATAATTTTTTACCACCAAACCACCCGTAAGGGGAGCAACATTGCTGGCTTAAAACTAGTAGAATTAAAAAAAATATTTATGATATACCACAGTGTTCTGTCAGGTTTTTTATGAATTTATTATTACCTTAGTAATTTTTCACCCGTTAACTACCCCTTATGGAAAGTCAATATTTCTGTTATTAAAATTTAAAGTAAAAACTTCTTTTTTTTATTCACCCTTCTCTACTTATAACTGAAATAAAAAAACTATTTTTTAAATGTTTAGTAAACTTTAAACACCTTGATAATCTTGCACCCCTAAACAAATGTTATTTGGAAACGTTCTTGCTAGTTTATTATTAGGTAAAGGCTTTGGCGATATTTCTCAAGAGATTACATTACCAGATGGACAAAAAGCACAACTGATAAAAGCTAGAAATCCAAATTCAGGTTCTCCTACACCAATAGAAGAAATAGTGCTCCCTAACGGCCAAAAGGTTGAGCTGATTAGGACATCAGATCCTAGTTCAGTATCAGATGGTGTTATGGTAGAACCTGGCAGTGATTTAGAAAAATTAGTTTTTTCAAGAACAACTACCACAACCGAAAAACCTCCAAACGAAATATTAGACGAACTTACTAAAAGCGTGCCTTCCTCAAATTTTGAACTATTAAAAACAGGTGCTAGTGGAGGTTTAGAAAGTATAGGTAAAAATTTACCCAACCAGAAAAAGGTAACATTTGTTCTTTTAGAAGAACAAAGTGATGGAACTTTAAAAGTTCAAGGAGTTAAAGGCAATGATAAGGACAAAACAGTTGACGTAGATGCTATTTTGAGCAAGATCAAAAGGGGTGAGATAAAATTACCTGATAATCTAAAACAACCAACAAAAACAACAACTAAAAAACCTGAAGTTATTTCAACCACTTTGAAAACAAATTATTCTCCCACATTAAAACCAGTTTATGCTACCATTACACCAAATTCTTTTGCCACTGAAGAACCAAATTTTTTCCAGCATACTCAAACTCACGAAAACGAGGAAAGTGATGTACCCGCTTTACAAACTAACATAGGAACCAAAATAATAGCTTCTTCTACTCCAGCCACATATTTTCTTTCTAGCACAACAACTGAACAAAAAAAGTCTACTCGGACTCCACATATTTTAAACAATGCTGCAAACGACTTACTTAATCAAGCTTCCACTGTTCAATCAGCTCCCAACAAGAATTTATTAACACCTAATCCTACAGAAATTACAGTTCAACAAAGTGTCTCTCCAATTAATCTATTTCCCATTCAAGAAACCTTTAGCACCCCGGAAAATCAAAAACATTCATTCGAGCTACCAGAAATTTTAAAGAAGAATAATTTGTTTGCAATGTCGAAATTTTTAAGACAGTCAGGTTTGGATACCATTTTAAACGAAACAGGCCCGTATACAGTATTCGTACCCACAGACAAGGCATTCAGGACTTTATTAATTCAGCTTGGAGGACCTGAAAAAGCCGAAGAGAAGTTTAAGGAGAATCCAATACTACTGAGTGGGGTAAGCAAGGAATTATTGATTTTCGTTACGATTATATCATTTCATTAGTACTTTTTTGAGACCAATTATTGTATACAAACTTTTTAAAGTCTTTTTTTCCATCGTTTCATTTTTTAATGTTTAGTATAATGTTTCGTTTATATACAGGGTGCGGAATTAGTGCGAGGAAGTCAAATTACTCATTTGTCGTAAAAGATACGAAAAAAAAATTTAGATAAAAGTTGAAACACAGATAGGACCATCCTTTAAAAATATTTTCAAATATACAGGGCCACCCATATTACTAGGTGCAACAAACTTATCTTTTTTTTTAATGAAACACCCTGTATATTTCAACATTTTTAAACTCTTCTCACTGTTCACGTGTTTTTAATATAAGGTTTGGTAGTGTTTTACATACAGGATGTCCCATTAAAAAAGAATTAGGCGAAAATTTAGCATGCTGGTTTTGTACCAATTTTGACAGCACCCTGTGTAATGAAAAAGAAAACTTTAAACGATAAAACTGTGTGTGATTAATAAGTTCATAAGGAATTTAAATTTTTATTCTAATTACATTAAACTATATTGAACTTTATATGGTAGAAAAGTATAATTTTTCATATAAAAACCATTATAATTCAAAAACGGTTCACTATAGGTATAGGGAAGTATTAACAAAACTATCTAAAATAACGTGAATACTTTTTAAAATTGAAAAATATATAGAGTGTCCCATTAAAAAAATGAAGTTGTAAGTAACTTCCACTATAACCGGAATTAGCAAATAGATAAAGATGTTATACCCCGTATAACACTATTAACCCTTATATTGAAAAAAAAAACGAGAAAATCGAGAAGAGTCCAAAAATGTAAAAATATACAGGGTGTTTTATAAAAAAAGATAAGTTTGTTCTCACCGTCAATATGGGTGACACTGTATATATAAAAATACTTTTAGAGTTTGGTCCTATCTGTGTTCCAACTTTTAACTAAATATTTTTTTCGTATCTACTACAAATGAGTAATAGGAATTAGAAAGAACTCGCGAACTAAAGGTAAACTGAATCATGAAAATTGATAATGATTTTATACGAAAAGTATACTTTTCTACGATATATATAAAGTTCAATATGCTCTAATGTAATTTGGATACAACTTTAAAATTCTTTAGGAACTTATTAAACAATATAGGTTTATCGTTTATAGTCTAAAGTTGCCTTCTTCATTAAACAGGGTGCTGTCAAAATTTGCGTAAAGAAGTCATTCTCAAGTTTGTGAGATTCTGTATGTGATTCATTATTTAAGAAGAATATGTTTCTTACTATCGATCTGTATTACTATTACTTACACCTATCTCTTGCAATTTTCTTTTAGCAGAATGTTCTGACAAATGTCAGTTATTGTTAATGCTTAATAATAACCTTGTTGTATGTCTTTGGGCGACAGTTATAATAATAACTTGTCTAATTTTCTTGACAAAATAATAATGGCTCATTTAGGATATGCAAATGATGATTTTTTAAATTTAAGTATAATTTACGTTGAGTGTAACAGAATAGTATTTTTGCTGAGGGATATCCTGAAAAACCTCGACCAACTCATAAAACTGTAATGTTTGTTGAGCAACTGTTCCCAGATGGTCATTCAGTAAAAGGAATAAGTTCAAGACCCACGTCCATGATGAAGACTTACAAATAAATATCCTGGAATATTTTGCAGCTAATCAAAATTCATTCTTACGGGAATGAAATGATAAAGCAAAACCTAGGGTATAAGGTTTTAATCAACATAAATTGTACACATAATGGTAACAAAAACAATAAAATTAACATGGCAGTAACAGTGACTTCTTTCAAACACTGACAGCATAAAATTACCTACAATATTCGAAGTCTACAGCCAAAGCAATACCAAGGAGGTTAATATCACATCACTATTATCTTTTAAATACCGTGGGAAATGACGAATTATTTCAGATCTTCTAGATAGTGCTGAAGGAGGCGATAAGCTCTGTTCAGAACTCATTGAGGGTTCTTCAAGAAGTAATAAATCCAGTGGAGGGGGAGATATAGGTTATTGCCAGGGGCTGCATGTTTTGCGTTGTTGTATTGGATGAGGAATCATTAAGATTCGAATGTAACTCATCTGAGTCTTCTACGAACACTGATTCTTGACCTGGTATATCTAGTATTTCCCTTTCACCTCGTCCACTCGAAGCCAGATGACGATTAGACACTGTGGTCTTCCGTCCGTCTTTCAGTTTAACAAAAGGGTATTCAGGATTTGCCTCTATTACCTCCACCTCCTCTACGATAGGCTGGTACTTGTTTTTCCGATCGAACCTTTTCATCAAGACATTTTGCTAGCCATGACGGTATTGTATTCCCATTTAGAGATCGACGTGTGTGCACGAACATCCTTTCATGCGGCGTATAGTTAGTTGCGGTACAGAACAGTGAACGAATGGAATGCAGCACGACACGTAGGTATTGTTCCCAAGTCTCAATAGATGCTTCATGTGATTCACAGGCTAGTTGAATAGCTTTCCAGACAGTAGAATTCAACTTCTCCACTTGACCATTTCTTTGAGGATTATAAGCAGTAGTTCTACTTGTTGCGATTCCTCTGAAGTTGAGGAACTCTTTGATTTCAGCTGATAGAAATTGAGTCCCTCTATCCGAATGAATGTATTGGGGCATTCCAAACATCATGAATAAGTTATTTAAATTCTTGATTACTGTTTTGGCACTTATGTCACTGCATGGGGAAGCGAATAGGAATTTGGAATACCCATCTATTACCTTAACAATATAACCATTATTGGTATTCGAAGGCATTGGTCCTTTAGTCAATACTAAGGCGTTCGAAGAGAGATGTGGCTTTTATAAGCTTTTAAAAAAGCCCCTCATTCTTTAAGTACCTCTGATTGATTTTAGCACATACCACATAGTCACGAGTTATAGTCTTGACTTCATTGAGAGAGAAAGGCAAATTCTTCTATTTTATCCAATAAAACATACGTGTTACCCCTGGATGACAAAGTGCAGTGTGAAGTAACTTGAGTTTTGATGCACCTGCCACCGTGGTAGTAGCACAAGAGCAGATGCGCGATAAAGCATCCGCTTCTTGGTTACTTTTCTTGGTCGATACATAATGTCATATTTATAAGGTGCCAATTCAAGT